TAACTACAAACAAACATAATTATTATTAGATGTAAATTTTTATTCTTTTTAATAGTATTTTTTGCAGATTTTACATACAAGTGTTTGTATATTAATTCAGTTAATTTTTTTTTTATCACGAAGAAAATAACACAAGTTTAATAATTTTTAGCTACTTTTTCATTCAGACTTCTAACAATAGCATCACAGTTCATTTTTAAGCAAGTCGTAGATTATTAATGTATAATTTTAAATACAGTAGTACTTAATAGTATGGATCGACAAGAGTTCCAAATAATTCACGCGCCGAGAAACCACTATATCGAATTCCTAAGCGAAAAACCGACCATTCAAAGTATTGGTTACGATATATTATTCTCATATATACTAATAATACGCTAAAAAGGTATAACAATTAAACATTTTCTAAAAGAGCAACATTTTCATCAACTACCTACCAACCTGATCACGTCAGCAGGGCTAGCGCCTAGACAGCTCGGACTATCGCTACAAGATTTCTCCAGCTTACTTGACTGGTCTGTGAATATCCGCTTTTGATATTCCGATAAAAATTCATATATATACAAGTATAATATAAAATGTAAACATGTTATACACGTACTTAAATATATTTTCAACCCCAACGGATGGCACTACACATCTATGGATAGACACGCGACAGTTTCTATAGGTATAACATAAGTAAACAACAAAGAATATAAAAAAAATTAATTTTAAAACGAATTAGGGATCCTGCTACAAAAAGTAATGAAACAAGAATTAAAACCACAATCACAAATGTATAAAATTTAATCCCTATTTTGGCAACTTTATAAACTTATTTGTAGGCTAAAATAAGGATTAAATTTTATAAATTTGTGATTGTGGTTTTAATTATTGTAAAAGTTATAGCTATCAGAGATATGGCTATACTGATAGTTTATAGATGTGTCCATTCTATGGACATATATAAACTAAACAAATAAAAAGGAGTAAAAAATATAATTTTAACAGAAATTAGGGATCGTTGGTTAATTGTAGAATTGCTCTAAGAAGTATACAAAACAAAATAAATTCTGTTATAAAAAGTAAACAAACAAGTAAACTGATACTAGTTGGATAGATTTTAAAAATATTTTTAATCCCTACTTTGGTTGGCATTGTGATCCGTATACCTAAATGAAGCAGTCTAAATTTGCCAACCAAAGTAAGGATTGTTTCTGTATTTTTTAAAATACATTCTGTTAAAATTTGTTGTTCTTTTTTTTCCTATTTATGTATATAATAGAATAAAATAAAATAACGGATTCATTGAGCAAGCTATTTCGTAAGTTTATGATTGTCAACAGCGTAGGTCGAACAAGTATATGCTTAACAGGGGATGTAGATCAGAGAAGCGTTTCTCGTCTCTTTTTGAGTGACTTTTGTTGGACAGACAAACGTAACTAAGTATTTAATTGATTTTACTTAATCCCCTCACAAACAACTGGATCGTTAATGGACTTTTAACTAATCTTTATATTACCGATTTCGATGTTAATAGAATTAATTACCTGCTGGTGAGCATGCGCAGGATTTTAGTCATTCGAAGAGATAACTTAATTATGGAAAGGCTTAAACAAAAACAACTAATTTAGCTAAAAATGCATGGATGTCCCGCTACGTCGTTGGAAGACCACATGTTAGTTTCCACGTTGCACGATGTGATAAAATTCGTTACTATAGTTGCCTGCTGCTGACGTACAAAAATGGCGAGAACAGTACTTACGTTCCTGGATACATAGTGGACATCTGTCAGAGTTGAACATGCAGGAGTAGCAACGTTCGTGACCACAGTTGTCGATGAGGCGTCGTTTTTTACCTTTGTCAAAGGGCATGTGGCAAGATGGACATCTAAGAATACTGGAATCGACTCCCATCATCATTTTCCTGACGGTGTGGATATCTTTAAAATAAATATAAAAAATACAAATATTGGACATTACATCTTCTACAAATCACAACCAAATTTATCATCACAAGTTCTACGAATATGCAGAAGTTAACCCTAAAATTACCGATTTATTTACACAGTGTTCACTACCGTTGGAGTTCATATATTACACAATATTAAGTAATTTTTTTTTTGGTTCTGAGTGTAACAATGTTCGGTTCAAAAAATTGGCCATAGAAATTCGGTTAAATTATTAATTTTCTATTATAATACATAGGAAATTAATTAGTGGAAAAACTGCAATATATATATATATATATATATATATATATATATATTTGTCGGTGGTCAACGATACGTCGTTACGGTCTTACAACGACTAAAGTACCGGGTAGTTCGTACTTTACCGTTAAAGGTTTTGGTTCGACCAAACGAAGCAGT